AGGTTTAGGCTATTTAAGTGTTGAAAAAGAGAGCTTGAAGTGAGTAGTGATATTGATGATTGTAGACTTAATTAATTGTAAATTAATCATTCATGTACCAGTTTGATGAGCTTGAAGAGCAAGCTTGGAATTAAGTTATTGAGAGTAAACCTTTAACCTTTCAAAGGTTTAAGGTAACCCAAAAAAATCTCTTTTATATAGTTGTTTGTTAATTGATTTATATTTTCAAAATTGAAGCAATTGATATGAATGATTGAAGCATGATTGTAATATATGCCAAAACTGTGTAAGGTTTTTTCTAAACCTAATTGACAAAGGAGATCCATATAGTCCTAAATTTCTCTTATAGGAAACACTTAAAAATGTATCAAACTACTTACCTCTTGGTATTGCTCTAACTAGTTGATTTTGTGAAAAATTCAATACTTCAAGAAAGTTGATATTTGCTAGTGCTAGAGGAATATCACCTAGGAGCCTATTTGATGATAAATCTAACCATTCTAGATTTTTCAAATTTGCAAGTGATTGAGGAATAGGACTAATGATTTTATTGTGGGAGAGGTTTAGCCCTTTAGTGACTATAAATCCCCAACAACTTATGGAATCTCTCCATCAAACATATGTTGTTTGACAAATCAATGATTGTGAATGTAGTTAATATCTTTACCAACTCTATTTTGTTACTTTTCAATGTGACTATCATCGATTCTTTATAGGATGTCTAGTTTCCCATGTAATTCACACCAAATGCAACATAATCTACATTAATCATTCCTTCAAATTCCTTGATGTAAGTAGTTGGCAAAAATCTATGAAAATGGTTGTTGGAAACATACAAAATTCTTAACTTAAAAAAAGGATTCTTGGTGTTGAAACTATAAATGGAACTATAGAACTTATTTTCTCTTAAAATGGGTACCTGTAGATCCAATAAGCCTTTAAGCCAAATAGGAAATTTATCCTTGGCCTTGTTTGCTCCCACATCTAAATTTTTAATTGCTTGCAATAAGTCAAAGATAAGGCAACCATCCCTCAAATCAATTGTTGCTCAAATGCAAAGATTACAAGGAATTGCTCTTAGAAAAAAATATTTGGTGTAGTTCCAACCAAATTATTCATCTGCAAATCTAAAGTCTCAAGAAATGGCAAAGCAATAAGGCACTTTGGGATGTGGCCAAAAAAGTTGTTGTGAGACAAGTTGAGTATCACAAGTAAGCTTGCATTGCAAAATGAGGAAGAAATGTGTTCACTTAGTTTATTGTTGGACACTAAAAAGAAATGAATATCGAAGGACAGAATTAGGAGATCTCCTTGCTACATGTTAAAGCTAAGGTCAAGAAAATAGAAGATTCTCATTGAAAATTGTTCTACTAATGTTAAATTATTATTAGAAAGATCCAAACTATCCAAGGAACCATTCCCCACATTATTAAACCATTTGGGAATCTCTCTATGAATTTTGTTATTGGAAAAATTTAAAATGTTCAAATTTTGAAGGTTTCCTAACATTTTAGGGAAGTCATGGATGTTACAAAAAGATAACTCCAACATTCTAAAATTGGAAATGATATAGTAAACATTATTATTAGAGCTAAGTGTTAAAAACTTATTATTTGAAAGATCAAGGTCATCTAGATTTTGGATCTTTGAAAATTGATGGAAACCAATAGGGTCCCTCAAATTATTTGATGATAGACTTAGAGTAGAAAGATTCACAAAACCAAAAATTGACTTAGGAAGATCTTGCAACTTATTATGATTAAGATATAGCTGCTGCAAATTCAAAAGGTTTAAGAATTTTAGAAAGCTAGTGATATGACAAGATGATTACTCTAACATATATTCTACGATTGGGAATGGCGTAGTTAAGATTATTATTAAAGTTAAGTGAAAGAAACTTGAAAATTGGTGAAAATCAACAAAGCTACTTGAGTTATTTGATGATAGACTCAAATAGAAAAGATTTGTGAGACTGAAAATTGACTTTGGAAAATCACCTTATAGGTTATTGTGAAATAAAGATAGAAATTCCAAATTTGAAAGATCTTTAAACACATTTGTCATCTCACCACTAAAATATTTGCTTAAAAGATATAAGACAGTGAGGTGTTCAAGGTTTGAAAGAAATGAGAGCTCACCACCAAAATTATTTGATGCAAGGTCAAAATGCGTTAATTGAGTGAGGTTATCAAAACTTGAAGGAATGAGCCCATCAAATTGATAGCCCTGAAGACTCAAAATTGAGAGACTTCAAATTGCCTATGGAATTAGATATTTGTCCTGAGAAAGCTATGCCACTGAGGTCCAAAAGCAGTAGAGGAGAGCTCTGGTTGAAATTTGGAAGTTGAACTTGAGATTTCCATTGCTTGACAAATATAAGCTTTGAAGATTTTGTAAATAGAAAATGTTATTTACAAAATTTCCTTATAGCCGAGTGTCTTGAAGACTAAGATGGACCAAAGAGGATGACAAATTCATCAACAAAGATAAAGAACATGGAACAATGGAAGATATATTTACATAATCAAAAATACTTTCCTTTAAATCGGTTGTGTTTAGAATGAGCTTTTCCCATATGAATAGTTCAAGTTTCAAATCAAGTGATCCGAATCTGTAAGACAAATCAAGCGAGACCAATTTAGACAAGTGAGAGATTTTGAGAGGAATTTCACCAACAAACACTAATGAACTTAAGTTCAAATATATGAGAGTAGGAAGATCACCAAATTAAGGTGACATTAAAGACCCATGAAAATCATTATGAGCTAAGTTGAGTGTTTGAATAGATGATAGATGAGAAAGTTGGAAGAGGGTACTATTGGGATGGAATTTATCTAGAAGCCAACTATAGCTAAGGTCAAGGCCAATCACATGACCTGACATGAGTCACATGTGATCCCATCCCATAAGTAGCAATTTGGATCATTTCCCCAATATGCTTTTTTTGGGTAAGACAATTGATGGAATTGATGATCACATTCCAATGAAGCATCACGATCAAGAGAGCAAGAGCTATTGAATTGGAGAAGGGTAGAATAGTCATGAGAATTACAAAATGGTGGGGCGAAAGAAGAAGAAAGGGAAGAAAGAAAAAGAAAGAAGAAAAAAAAAACAAAAGAGGATTGGAAATTTCATAGTGAAAGTGGTTGGGCAACGAGTGAAGGATGGATATACGGTATTGAACAAATGAAGCTTCAATATTTATAGGTTGAGCTAAGGCAAATCATCATCATCTTCTTTTTTCATTATTGCATTAATGATTAAAATTCGAAGGAAACCAAAATATATAAGATTTAAAAAAAACCAGAATTGTTGTCGTCATAACAAACGATATCTCTTCAAATAGGGACCATTGATTAATAACATATTAGTTATAAAAATTACTCATAATGTACTGTTTATTTTTGTTTTCAAGGTATCTCCAGAGCTAAGCAGTCATGAAGTTAATTTTTCAAAAAATCCGAGCGTCATTCAAGGACTTGTCATCTCCCAAGCGATTCTCTCCATACATGCTTCTAGAAATTGATAGCTTTCAAATATTTGAAAGTTTAGTGTTACAAAATATTATGATTTTTAATAATTTTCAGCTAAAACATAGAAATCACCCCCTAAAACGTTACATAATTATTCATTGAGGTTGGTGTAAAGTGGTAATGACTCTCATCATTTATACAAATAGTTGAGGGTTCAAATTCTATATAATAATTTTGTTGGAATAAGTTTACTCCTTGTAACCTTGGGGACTAGATACATCCCTCTTCATACGTTGATGTGTGTGTTGACTAGCTAGTCTTACTCTCAAGTGACTACCAAAATTGAATGAATTATTTTCGAAGCTTATCTTGGACCTAAAAATAGAGGAGGACTTGACAAATTTTCTAAATTTAGATTCACCGATTCATTCATTCATTCATTCATTCATCTTGTCTTGTGAATTTGAAAAAAAAAAAAATACAAGAGTATTTTGTTTAGATGTTCCTTAGCCTTCAAATCTTTTTGGAAAATTTTTCATAAAAATGATCATCAAATATAGAGTAAAATACATTGTCCTCCTTCTATTTTTAAAATTCATTATGAACTTCTCCTAGAATCAATAGTAACAAAGCATTTGTATCACTTCTACTTTTATGTTTTTATTTTCATTCATACAACTATTAGTTGATTGTTAAATCACATGTGTTGGACCAAAATCAAATTATATTAGACAACTTCTTCATTTTTAGAAACTGACATCAGACTGGTCTACATTTTTGAGTTTAATGATGCTGATAATTTCCATATCATTAATCAATCTATTATTTTATTAATGAAAGTTAACTTGATCTTTTACACAAATACTAACTTGTAAAAACTTCAAGTCATCAGTCAAATAGATGGAGTATATTAGGGAAATAATCAATCAATTGATAATAAAAAAAATCAAATGTATGAATTTAAACGTCTGAAGAATTTATTATCAAGTTATAAAAATAAAAAATTCCTGAAATTGATGAAAGAAAAATTACTAAAAATTGGTTAATAATTATGTAATTGATTTATTTGACATGTATTTATATAGTTTTTTTTATGGAAGAAAATTTACTAAAAAAGGAAATCTCAGGTGTTCAGGGTTGAGATAATTTAGGGTGATATTTAATATTTTACTTTATTTACTCGTTATATATATAGTTACGCGAAAATTCTCATGCCCGAAGATATTATAGAGGTTCAATTTCAAACTCATGAAAATTCTGAAAGCCTCCACATTCAAATCTAGAATGATTTTTATATACACAAATCAAAATGCAAACATAATTTTATTAACAACAGTGCAAAAAAAGTACAACCCAAGTGCATGCCAAGAGACCACGTAGGCAATTGGCAGAGACTTGTATCAATTACTGACTCTCAAAAGTTCGACACACAAAGAACTCATAATACACAAACATATATAACTTAAGCATAACGAGCAACATAAAAACACAATCACGTAAACCTCAAACCGATGGGTCCAAAGTCTATTATTCGAACAACTTTTCAGCGAGAGCAGTAAGCAATGGAGTTGGATTTCCTAATAAAACAGATATTATGGCGCTGAATCCTATTTTCACCAATTCGATCAACGCACGAGTGACAGGTTTAGACGAGCTTCTTCTTCTTCTATCCATGGCCAAAGAGCTTCTAGCTGATGCAGTTTTACTTGTGATGACCGAGCTTGAAGAAGAGGAAGAATAACAAGCACCAGCAACGTTGAAATAAACCTTTTTCCCGTCCTCCAGAATCGAAGTCTTCTTCATGCAATAAACATGGCAGCAATAATTTCCACGAGACGACACATAGGACCACCCTCTGAAACGTCCCTTCTTTATCTTAACGTCATTTATATCCTTCCTCTTGCATTTCACACACTTAGAGGGCACTTTGCGTGTAAGATTCAGCATCATCTCATCGCCATCATGAGAGATAGGTATGTCTGTTAGGTTCATGCAACAAGGATGCAAATCAAACTCGCGTTTGGATTGGTGATGATACAGAAATCCTCGGATGTCCTGCCCGCAAGCATCGCAACATCGTTCTTCCGTCCCCGGCGGTTCCCAGAGGAATTTGAACTGGCTCTCCTTCATGAACGGGTGGAATCTTGGGCCGTCGTGGGGGCGAGCCCTGGCACAGTGGTCGTGAAGGACGAAGAGACAACCAGTTTCGTGGCACTGGTACCTCGGGCCATACCCTTCTTCCACACAGCCACTGCATTTGAATGGATCTCCTTCGCTTTTGAATATTATTGGATGCCGTGGGTGATTCATCTTCTCTTCAAAACCACTTCCCATTCTATGCCAACGCTCTTCAACTCTAAACTTTCTTCTTCAGCTTCTTGACGAGCTTTTTATGTACATATATAGTGTTTTTCTTGTTCAACTTTCTTGAGAGCTATACATATTTGAGTTAAGATTTATGAATTTCTATGAAGTTTTCATAAGAACTTCATCAAATTTACCAAATCTTAACTTGAAAGAATTTAAATTCCATATAAATATATATGTATATATATATTTATATTTCTTCAGCTAAGAGAAAATGACAATTATGTCCTTAATAATTTTTTTGGAAGACTTGTAGAAAAAGGAGGAAGACATGTTGTGCTTGTTAACAGTTTTTGTTTTTAGATATAAATTTTTTTTTGGAGATAGACAATATCTGCGACAGATTTTTATTTTGTCTAGTTTGTGGTATATATTTTCAGTTTATTTCGAACTTTGAAGTTTCCATTACACGGAATAAAAGTGGAAAGAAGTATATGGAATTATAATTTATAATAAATAACAAGCTTTCAATATCGAATACTTTTTCCACAAGCGTGCCAAATGGGAAAGACTTGTCTTTTTATGTGAGATGGAAATGAAAGTGAATCAAAGAACACTCACAGCCAAATAAAAGTCTCAACAAATGAAATATTGAATCATCTTATTGGGTTATTTGAGTTGATTTTGAAGGGGCAATATCTTCACTTCAATATGTGAGGCCACACATTAGTTAAACTGGTCGAAAGAGTTAAATAAATTATTTTATAAAGTTTTGATTTTGAATCCTAAAATATATAGTCATCTTAAAATAATATGTTAAATACATTCTCGAAATATCCATAAAACTATCATTGATAATATAGGTCCTATACAATAGGGGATTTAGATTAGGTTAGGTTAGAGGTGATAATACTTCTACTTTTCCAAGATACTAGGCATTGAAATTAAAAAAAAAAATGTTAGGCCATATCATGTTAAGAGACCACGAAGGCTTGAAGACACCCCATAGTTTTATTGAAAATAAATTTTTGTAAAGTTCAATAATTCTATCTAAAAATTTAAACAGTTTTTAACTTTACCTTTATTAATTATATATTTTTAAATAATATATTTTCTCCTATCAAAATTCATATAATTAATTAATAATTAATGTGTGTCCGCGGGGCTTGGCTCATAATATATATATATATATATATTCATTTTAATTTTTTTCCTTTTCCAAAACTTATTTGGCTCATTAATTTTAGATATATATATATATATATATATAAAAGATCTCTCTTTATACGTTGGGCATAGCGCGGAGGACAAGCAAAATAATATGTGGGTGCTTTTCTGATAATAAAAACAATTCAAGTGAGTTGGATTCCAAGAGCTTACCAAGGTTAAAGTATGTTTTTAAATTCAAAGAGTACTTACAAAAATACTTATAAATTGCCAACCAATAAAGTCCTCATGTCAATAGTAGTATTTGATCCCATGACTTTGGAGGTTATGGGCTAAATCCTTACATGCTGAATCAATCTTTGTTTACAAATATAATTATCTTTAATATCTTTTTGCATAATCTTTTAAGAATTTAGATTTTTCAAGAAGTCACCCCTCAAATGCAAGAGAATTTTCAATTTACGCACATTTTTCACAACAATAATCATTAAATTTATGATGATGCAGTAATAATTGTTATAATATGTCTGTGTGTAATTTTCAATTTATGCGCATTTTTCGCAACAATAATCATTAAATTTATGATAATGCAGTAATAATTGTTATAATATATAATGTGCGTGTGTGTGTGAAAATTTCTTGTATATCAAAGTAGCAAATTTATAAATGTTCTTATACTTTTATACCTTGTCAACAATTTATTAGATGGATCAATCAACATGGTGCAAAGAAAGGTTTACAAAGTCATGGCATGCGGGAAGATTAACTTGTAAAAAAGTGATGTGTGTGTCGTCTAATCTCTTTTTCTCAAGTCTCAAGAAGTGACTTCCAAATGTTAATGTATTATTTTTTCGGGTTGTCTTGGACCAACAAAAAAGAAAGAAAAGTTAGTTACCAACCACCCAAAAAATATAAAAAATAATTAAGAAGACATGTGCTTATTAACAAAAGCAATTTGTTTCTTGAAGACAGACAATATCCAAGATAGATTTCTATTTCGCGTAGTTTGTAGTAATTATTTTTGGTTTATTTCAATCTTTATATTTGACACTTGACATTAAAAAAAAACAGTGGAATAAGGATTATGTGGAAATTTAATAAATAAAATGTTGTCAATTTCAAATTTTGTTTACCGTAAGCGTACCAAATGGAAAAGAAGACTTGTAATGTGATGGAAATGAAAATAATAAATAAAAAAACTGTCACATCCAAATAAATTTTTAATAAATAAAATATTCAATATTTTATTGACTCATTTAATTTGAGTTGACTTCTCAAGAGGTAATTTCTTCATTTTAGGCCACATCAAGTGAAGTGACCATGAATGCTTCAAGGCCCCGCCAACACGTTATATGTGTTTTGGCATGTGCATCAAATATATATATATATATATATATATATATCTATGCGCGTGCATGCGTTTGGGTTTATTAGTTATGCATTAAAAAAATAAAATTAATCTGTTTAATTAAATAAACTTAATTAAATGCCTGAATCTAGCCTAAATCTATTTAGTAAATAGTTAAATTAAGCTTGAAATAGGTTAAGACGTCATGAATCTGGCTTATTCTCACCCTTATTTTCCTATCACAAAGAATGAATGAAGCATTCTACGCACAAGCCAACATCTATTTACTAATAACCATGTTTAGCAGGCTTGTCTATTTGCTTGAATTTCAATGTAAGCTGCACTATTTTCACTGCTTGTAAAGTAACCTTAATTATGAACTAATTAATGAAGCATGAAAGCATGAATGAATTAAGAGGATGAAAAACACTGTTTTGGAGGTCTTAAATGGGAATGAATGCAACCCACCATAATTATTTGAGAAAATATGTTTGAGAATTATAAATCTAGTGCTTTTTGAGAAATAACCCAATTGTTCTATTTTATTTTCTACAAGCTTCTTCTTTGGTAGAGTTATTGTATTTTCATTTTCTTTTTGCAGGACTATAGTGCTTATTTTAAATTCCTATTTACACCATTATTTTGAACAATCTTGTATTAATTAATCACAAAGTTTCAAAAGGAGAAAGTGATTTTTCACGTATAAATATTTATAAAAAACCTAAAATCTTTTAACAAAAAATTGTATTTTAAAATGGTTATAGTTATTCATGGTCCATTTTAACTCCCTTCTTTACCCCTCTTAAATTAACATGGATAAACATAATAGATATTAAGTTACAGAAATAAAGTTTATCTTCCGAGCCCCTGGAGATTATTTAAATAATTTTTTTGATAACAAGAGATTATTTAAATATTAAGTTACAAAAAACTTGTCTCATATTGTGGTTTTACATTCTTATCCTACTTTGACAATTTGAATGCCTTCAGTTTAAGAATGAAACAGAGGGAATAAGGAGCGGTTTTGTAAAAGAATATCATATAATAAAATAATTCTTTTTATATTATTAAAAAAATGAGCTATTAAATATTTATTATATTTATATTATTAATTGAAATAATTATGTTTTTATTATTTTTATTCATATATAGACACATAATATATTGTTGTTTATAACAAAAAAAAGTTTATAACCTTAATCGTAGAAATAATTATGCAAAATGTTGTAAGAAATTGTATAAACTCTGTATATTCAGTTATACAGTTATTTAAAATTGAAAATTTTTTTAGATATTGTAATAGCTTTGTTAAGGACTAATAAATAACATAACCATATAAATTATATAATTTTCCTTATAAAAATATTTAATTTAAATTATATAATATACTATTGTTGGATTGTTTTAAACTGTTTTTCTTTTCTCTTGTTTTAGTAATAAGAATTTTTACTAAATATAGAAAGATTAAAATCAAAATCCTTCTAGGTTATAATAATAAAATTTTGCATGTAATTTTTTTTAGACATTATATGAATCGAACTTCAGAAAAAAATTTGACCAAAAAACTTTATATAAAAAATTGAAAACTCATTTGCTTTAAGAAGACAAATAAAATAAATAAAAATATATATATAAAAATGTGTGACAAATGGCATTGTCCAAATTTTAATATTCTATTTAATTATTATATCAACGATTAGACTGTGATTGAAAAATAACCCTCTTACGTTTCTGATTTGTTATCCAGTTTTGTTTTTAAAGCATTTGAAAAAAAATACAAATATTAAGAATTGGAATCAGCTGACTGATTCATTAATCTTGGATTAAAAAGTCAATAATTTGTTTAGATGTTCATAGCTTTCAAATATTTGAAACTTTAGTGTTACAAAATATTATGATTTTTAATACATTTCAGATAGAACATAGATATCACCCCTACAACGCAACAGAATTTTTAATTTAAAGGAATAATGATTAAATGATGATAGTAAAATATTATCTACTATCTTATTTTTGGTTACATAATTTTAAATTTGAAATCAAAGTAGAGAAAAGGACTTTTTGCAAATATAGCTCATATTGTAGGACAAAACCAAACATACAACCCAACATTTATTATTTTTTTCATTATGATGGTTTATTATATTTGTCAATTATAAATCCCTTGTAGATTTTTAAATTTTTAATAATAAATTCCATGTATATCAATAATAAATTTATTGCATGTCAACATGAAATTTTTAAAAATTTGGTCCATATCTTGTGGGTACAATTTCTTTTTTTCATCAGTAAGCCAATTTATCTCGGAAAAAATTGAATGAATTATGAAAGTATTATTATAGAAATTAGAAAAAGCACTCAATGATGATATGAAGCTTTATAAAATATTTAAAATGTAAACAAATATAAATATATTTAAATAATTTTAATTATTATAAAAAATATCACATAGATGCATGAATAGTTAATTGTGACTCCTTGATTGATAATATTTGATATTAATGGTCCCAAC